GAGCCACCCGAGCGCCGCCGCCCATTGGCTGAGCCGGCCGAGGTGCGCGCGCGCGCAGGGAGGGCGCCACGAGGCTCAAGGCGCGGGACGCGAGGCGCGAGGGCCGACGCTACTGCGCCTGCGCCCGCGCCCCTCGCGCCCCTCGCGCCCCTGCCAGAGGTTGGAAAGGGCTGGGCGGAAGCTGTGGTTGGGCGTTGCCGGCGCAATGGCGCGAGTGACCTCTGCGCCTGCGCAAATGAGCAACCACCGGGCAGAAAGCAGGGGGCCCGGCCCCTCCCCCTCCCCCTCGGGCCTTGACTTTCCTTCTCTATAAAGTGGGTACAGGCTTCCCGGATGATGGTCAACTTTGCTTCTCGCTGGGCCTGAGGGGTCGAGCTGCCAGTCCTGGGTGGGACCTCCTGGAGAAGACAGGACCCCACCGCATAAACTGGTCCTTCCTCCCTCTGGGCCTCAGTTTACTCCCCTGTAAAATGAGGTCCCTTCCAGCTCTGCTAGCCCATGATTCCGTTAGCCGGGCACGTGACCTTGCTCAGGGCCCTGCCCTCTCGTCTCCAGGTGTTAGGTCCTGGGGGGGGGCAGGGCAGGTGCTTAGTCAATATTGATCAGATCGATTGATTATTATTGACCCCCGAGTGCAAAGGAGGCCCTGCCTTGGGTGGACGCTGGCCGGTCCAGGGAGGGCGGGGCAGCAGGGATCTCTGGCTGGCTCTATGGGGGTGTGAGGGGCTGTCACAACAGGCAGAAGACCTGAGTTCGAAACCCACCTGGCCGGGGAGGGGCGGGGGAGGTGTCAGCCTGAACCTGTCACTCATCTCCCGAGCCTCAGACTATTAAGGGACCTGAGAAAACTGGTCCAGGGTTTTCCCCTTGGGTTTTGAACTTTAATCTGAGCATCACTGGCTTCCCTCGTGAGGGCTGGGGGCTGTGTAGAATCAGCCTCCTGAGATGGGGTCCAGGGGCTCCCCAGACTGCCAGAGGGGCCGTGACCCGCAGACAGCCCAAGATGGGTAAACTGAGGCCCGAGGAGGCTCCCTGGGCCGGGCGCCTGGTTCGAGGTTCCTCTTTGAAGGTCAGGGGAGCTGGGGCGCCCGGTCCTCAAAAGCCAGCTAGTGAGCGAGTGGCACCGTGGATGGGGCTCTGGACTGAGCCTCAGTAAGGCCTGGGTTCAAATCCTGCCTCAGACACTTGCTAGCTCTGTGACTCTCAGCAAGTTACTTAACCTCTCTTTGCCTCAGTTTCCTCATCTGTAAAAAGGGCATCACAGATGACCTCCCAGAGTCACTTTGCAAACCTTAAAGTGCTACAGAAATATTGCTCTTATTGGTGCAGTCTTTTCTTTTTACACAAGAGGAAACAGGCCTGGACATAGATAAATAATAAATAAAGAGCCAGAGTGCCAAGGACCTTCAGAGGCCTCAAGTCTGACACGCTCGTTCTACAAGTGGGGCAACTGTCCAGGCTTGCCCAAAGTCACATGCATGCTGAGAAGGAGGGCCAGAATTGGAACCCAAGTCCTGAGACTAAATCCCTCCATCCTCATCCCTTGCCTCTCTAAGCCTCTTCGAGGAGGAGGCTGAGGTACAAAGTGGTTTGTCATCAGAAAAAAAAAAAATACAGCAGAAAGTCCTGAAAGGCCCTGGGTGGGCATGGGGCCGAGGGCCAAGCATCAGAAGGAAATACCCTTTGTATCCCCAGGGCTTAGCATAGGGCCTCCACACAGTAGGTGTTTAATTAATGCTTGTTGGCTTGACCTCATGATTTTATTCAGCACAGGCCTCAGCCAGAGTCGCTGGTGTGTGCAGCTGTTATTTTTCTGTGGCCTTTTCATTAATGAGACATTTTGTATACTGGGAAACTGAGGCCCAGAGAGGTGCCCATATTGCTGAGTCCCCTGGTCTCTTCAAGAGTGAAAAACCTTAAGTCATTCCCCAATTGAGAAATGGTCAAAGGATATGAACAGACAGTTTTCAGAGGAAGACATTAAAGCTATAGACAGCTTTATGAAAAAATGCTCTAAATCACTATAGATTAGAGAAATGCAAATCAAAACAACTCTGAGGTACCACATCACACCTATCAGATTGGCCAACATGACAAAACAGAACAATGATAAATGTTGAAGATGTGGGAAAATTCGAACACTAATGCATTGTTGGTGGAGTTGTGAACTGATCCAACCATTTTGGAGAGCAATTTGGAACTATGCCCAAAGGGCTACAAAAATGTGCATACCCTTTGACCCAGCAATAGCATTTCTAGGTCTGTACCCCAAAGAGATCATACAAATGGGAAAAGGACCCACATGTACAAAAATATTTATAGCAGCTCTTTTTGTGGTGGCAAAGAATTGGAAATTGAGGGGATGCCCATCAATTGGGGAATGGCTGAGCAAGTTGTGGTATGTGAATGTAATGGAATACTATTGTGCTGTGGGAAATGATGAACAGGCAGAATTCAGAAAAACCTGGAAAGACCTGTATGGTCTGATGCTGAGTGAAGTGAGCAGAACCAGGAGAACATCGTACACAGTAACAGCCACGTTGTGTGATGACTAATATTGATAGACTTAACCCTTCCCGGCAATACAAGGATCCAAGATATCTCCAAAGGCTTCGTGATGGAAAATGCCGTCCACATCCAGAGAAAGAACTATGGAATTTGGATGCAGATCGAAGCATACTATTTGCTATTTTTTTCTCTTCTGTTTTGTTTTGTTTTGTTTCCTCTTTCTGGTGGTTCCTCCTATTAATTCTAATTCTTCTTTACAACATCACTAATGTGAAAATGTTTAATATGAATGTATAAGGAGAGCCTATATCAGATTTTGTGCCGTCTTGGGGAGGGAGGTGGGAAGGGAGGGGGAGAAAAATTGGTACTCAAAATCTTATGGAAGTGAATGCTGAAGAGTAAAAATAAACACAAATCTTAGAAAAGAGTGAAAAACCTTCATTCTTGGGAAACTTGTCTTATTCCCACCCAAAAGATGGGACTGGGGTCAACAGGGGAAATTAGAGGGGCAGCTTTAGTTTACGTGGAAGGAAAAACTTCCAAATGCTTGGAGCTGATCCAAAGTGGAATGGGCTGCTTTGACAGGTAGTGAGCTCCCCATCTCTAGAGGTGTTTCAGTAGAGGCTGGACAAGCACCACCAGGTCATTGGATAGGTCAGACTAGGCCCTTGAGAGCTCTCATTCCTCTCTGAGGGTCTGTGAACCCACCCGTAGCTTGGGGGCTATTCAGGGCACTTAAGGCAGGAGCGATGTCAGCAGGCCTTGAAAATGGGCTTGGGGGGCAGCTAAGTGGCGGAGTGGATGGAGCACCGGCCCTGGAATCAGGAGGATCAGAGCTCAAATCCAGCCTTAGACACTTGACACTTACTAGTGGTGTGACCCTGGACAAGTCATTTAACCCTGACTGCCTTGCCAAAAAAAAAAAAGGCTTGGGCAGTCAGAGGGAGGGAAAGATGACTCTGCAGAGGAGCTTCCAGGCCAGGTAGTTAGGATTTCTAAGCAAAAGAACCCTGCCTGATGATCTTGGCCAGTCCCATTTTACAGGTGAGGAAAACTGAGGCCTAGAGATAGGAGGAGAGTGAGTTGTTTCAGGTTACACAGTGCCAGGATTCAAACCCGGGTCATCTCGACTTCAGCCTACGTTCTCTCCATTGAACAGGCTGCTTCTTGCTGGCGGCTGAGTTACTTGGAAGGGCCCAACCATCATCCAGCAAACATTAAGTGCCTACTGCATGCAGAACAGTGTAGGTGCTGGGTTTGGCTAAGTCATGGCTCTGGCCCTAGCAGAGCTCATAGTCTGTGAACGGTATGATTTGAGGTATTTCATGATAAAGGTATTCTAGGTGAGGAGATATCAGGGTGGCCCTTGGAGCTGGTGACGAAAGGGAGTGAGTTCAGTCCAGGCATGGGGGAGGGCGGGGCTCAGAGGACAGGGACGGCTTCAGCCTGCCTGGAGGGGCGTGGGATCTGGGGGGAGGGGTCAGGGGGCGCTGGCAGTAGCGCTGGGAAATAGGGACGGGGGATGGTGGGCAGATGAGCGGCTGTGGGGGAGGGGAGGAGCCCACCAACACAGCCCCCTTTCCACCTCCACCCAGCCTCGTATCCCATGGCAGCCTGCAGGTTGGGAGAGCTCCCGGCAGGTTCCTGCCTGGCCGCCATGCCCTGGTCCTTTCTGGGCTTCTGACCACCAGCCAGAAGCCCTGACCATCCCTGTCTGGCTGAACCGCACTTCCCTGCCTGGGCTCTGAAAGTGGGAGCCGCTGGTCTTTGGGTGGCATGACTGGGGCTCAGGCCCTCTGGAAAGTCACTGCCCCAAAGTCTTGTTCACCGCCCAGACTGGTGACGGGGCTGCAGGGGGTGGATCTCTCAGGAGCGCCTGGCCTCTGGACTCTGGCCTAGACGTCCTAACTGCACACCTTGTTTCTAGGCTGGCGAGGGTGGAAGCCAGGATGAGGGGGTCTGAGGAGTGGGAAAAGTACCGCGGGATGGAAGACGGTGTGTTCAGGGAGGAGGAAGAAGCGTCACCTCCTGAGAACTACGGCAGTCAACACAGCAGACGCTGAGGTTACTGGAAATAACCAACTGTTAAGGCTTAGTGAGAAAGGTACCAAACGCAGGGAGTCGTCTGCCTCTGGAGGGCAGGGGCTGCGGGAACGAGGAGTCCAGGGAGTCACAGCTAACAACTGGGAGCAGGGGTGGGAGCTACGGGGGTCAGTTGTGGTTGGCCAGAGAGCACGATTTCCCAGCCAGGAGAGCCGCCCCGAGCCAGAATGGACTGCCTGGGCAGGCAGTGAGTCCCCAGGGATTGGAGAGGTTCCAGGGGCAGGCTGCAAGGGTACTGTCCAGAGTCCTTGCAGAGGGGACCCTATGCAGAGGGAGCTCCCATCCACTCTGGGATTCCATGATTCTGGGACACGGATGCGAGGCTGCCGGGGCGCTGCTGCTGGGCCCTCTCGGAAGGCAGAATCGTATCCTGCATGGCAGATGATGGAGGCAACCATGATCCCAGGCGCTCAGTCTAGACTGCGGGACTGCCATGCCGGATACGGAGCCTCGGGAAGCCCTCTTTCATGGAACAAGCCAGGTCATCAAAGTCTTTGGTGAGGTGGATGTGCTGGAAGGGAGGACAGCTCGGTGGTGAGTGCGTGGCTGGAGGGTGCCAGCTGAGCTCCAAGCTGGAGGGTCGCCAGGCTGGGCCCCCTACCAGCCCCACGTCCCCCCTCCGAGGCCCAGCTGGGCTCTGCTCAGGAGGGCTCGATGCGGGCTGGGCCTCTGCGGGGTCGACTTTTGGCCAGGGCAGCTTTCCAAGACCAGTTCCTAAGTCACGGCTTGTTCTTGGACAGGAAGCCTTCCCCCCTGCTTAATTCTGGGGTCTTTTCTCTGTTGTTTCCTATTTTTCCTGTCTGTGGCTTGTGCTGTCTACACAGTGCACAGAGCCCCGGCCCTGGAGTCAGGAAAACTCATCTCCCTGAGTTCAAATCTGGCCTCAGACACTTCCTAGCCTGTGACCCTGGGCAAGCCACTTCACTCTGTCTGCCTCGGTTTCCTTATCTGCAAAATGGGCTGGAGAAGGAAATGGCAAAGCCGTCCAGTACCTTTATGAGGAAAACCTCGAATGGGGTCGCAGAGAGACAACTGAAATACGCCTAAAAGTCTGTTCTGTCTATGGCTTGTGTGCTGTCCTCTCCCCCATTAGATCATAAGCTCCTTGAGGTCAAGAACTGTCTTTTAATTCTTTTTGTATCCCCAGCGCTTAGCACAGTGCCTGGCACATAGTAGGCGCTTAATGAATATTGAATGAATGAATGAATGAATGACTCTCAGATGAGGGGCTCACCCTCCTCTGTGCCATTACTCGAAGGGATGCTCTGGGACCACCACGGCCCGACCACGCCCATTCTCTTCCTTCCGAAGCCACCCTGGCCGCCCCCCCCGGGGGTCCCAGACCGCTGGGTGCCCAGTACCCTGCCCTCGGCGGTGACCACAGCTGGCTCCAGGGCCGCGGTTCCCGGTGGAGGGCCCCGCACATAGTAGGCGCTTTTAATGAAGCCTTTTGATTGAATTAGCGGAATGATTCACAGTCCCGTGCCCACCTCCTGTTACGTACCGAGAAGTCCAACACCTCCAGCCCCGAGTCTGGGTTCATCTGCACCGCCCTGAGGAGGCCGAGGCAGCCCTCGCTCCGCATGGGGTTCCTGCCCATCTGCACAGAGAGAAGGGGTGCAATCAGCCAGGAGTCGGCGCAGCCGCCGAGCGCTTCACTCGGAGACGGGAAGATAAGGGGTTCACATTCCACCTTGGACGCTCAGCCGCGGTGGGACCGCAGGTAAGCCACTTAACCTGTGTGAGCCTCAGTCCCTCTTGGTCAGCGGGAGCTAATCCGCCTGCTAGGAGGCTTAAGCCAGAGAAGGGGCGCAGGTAGCACACTGCCGAATTGGAACCCAGATCCTGCCTCTCCACCGCCCACAGCCCTCCCGATCCCGAGCTGTCAGAGCGGGAGGGACCTCGAGGGTCACACAGGGCATGAATCCCCTCCAGAACACCCCCGACAAGTGACCCCCTTCTAGAGGACCTCAAGAGAATGGGGCGCTTACTACCTCTCCTGGCAGTCCATTACAAGATTGGATGGTTTTAAAGGTTAAAAAGTTGGGATTAATCCCCCACCGCCACTTCTCCTAGCTTTGCTCTCTGGGGCAAAGAAAAAAGGAGGCGGATCCCTCTCCCACCACCTTTCTAATAATTAGAGATAGTCTCTAGGACCTAGAGTCTAGGTGGTGCAGGAGGACCTGAGTTCAAATCCAGCCCTAGACACTGTATAACTGGACAAGTCACTCTGACCTCTATTTACCTCAGTCTCCTCATCTGTAAAATGGAGATAATAACTGCCCCTCCTTCCCACAGGGTTGCTGAGAATCAAATGAGATAATAATTGTAAAACGTTTAGCACATCGCCTGGCACCTAGTAAGCACTATATAAATGTTAGCTACTGTTTTTTATTCTTTATTTGCATTTATATAGTGCTTTGAGGTTTAAAAGCACTTTGCACATTTCATCTGATCCTCTAAAAACACTGAGGAAGATGCTATTACAACCCTCATTTTACAGATAAGGAAACTGAGGCAGAGGGCGGTCAAGTGACTTGCTCAGGGTCATGGAGCTTGTGTCAGGCAGGATTTGAACTCAGGGCACTGTGTTCCCTTCTCTCCACCTCCTGATTGTCTGCTCTTCTCCCCAGACTAGCCCTTTCTTCATGGGACATCCCTCCATACTCAGGTGCACCACTCACCAGGAGTATCCTCAGAGTACAGTTTTCCCTCAGTCCACTGGAGAATCGGAGGGCTCCAGGAAGTGAGATGCGGTTGTTACTTAAGAGAGAAGACAGTCATTGCTGAAGGCTTAAAACAGCTCCTCGGTGGTCTGTCTCTGTCCTCTTAGCGGGGTCACAGAGACACAGAATGTGGGTAAGAGGCTGGTGGGCAGGGGGTGAAGGGGCCAGGGAACACACACATCTCAGAGTTTCACTCCCCCCTTTTACAGATGGGGAAACTGAGGCCCAGAGGGGCAGAGGGAGATTGTTCACCATCACACAGGGGGCAGAGGCAGGGATGGGAGGCCCCTCGCCGCAACGGACATCAGATTCGCAGAATTTCATATCCCCTTTCATCCCAATAGGAAGAGCAGGAAGCTGCTCCTACCTACTAGAAGTATGCATAAAGGCAGAAGACTGTAAGTTCTCTGAGGGCAGGGACAATGCTGTGTAGTCTATATAATTATAAGCGCTACATAAATGTCAAGGCATTCTATCTTCACATCCCTAACACCAAGCCTGCCCACTGCCAGGCCCATAGTAGGTGCTTTATAAACGTTGGCTGAAGCCTTCTCCTTACCCCCATGGCTTGTGCCTTCACCCCTGAGATTATCTTAATAACAGTCCGAATTTACAAAGGACTTTAAAGTTTGCACTTAATCTCATTTGAGCCTACAACATCCCTGGGAGGGAGTTACAACAGCCCCATTTTACAGTTGAGGAAAGTGAGGCAAACAGAAGTGAAGTGACTTGCCCATGGTCACATGGCTAGTAAGTGTCTGAGGCTGGATTTGAACTCGGATCTTCCTAATTCCAGGTTTGGTGCTCTATGCACTGTGGTATCACTGAGTTGCCTCATCTTCTATCTTCTTCCATCTACTCTACGTCTTGTGGGCTCAGTGATTCGCATGCTGTGTCCAGGGGATACCAGGCAAAAGTCAGCCCCTGCCCGGGAGGAGGGAGGAGGGGAGGGCCGGGAGGGGTGGGGCTGGGTCCTCACCTGATGTTGAGCTCCTCTAGCACGCTGTTGACTTTCAGGGCCTCCCCTATGGCGGCCGCTCCTTGGTCGCCGAAGCCATTGTAGGAGAGGTCCAGCACTTTGATGTAGATATTGGCCTGTGGAATTAGACAGGACAGATGGGACGGTGTTGATGCTGAGGAGGAGGAGGAGGAGAAGAGGGAGGAGGGGGAGGGGAGGGGGAGGAGAAGGGGGAGAAGGAGGGAGGAGGGGAAAGGGAAGGAGCAGCATGGGGAAGGGGAGAAGGAGGAGAAGGAGGGAGGAGGGGGACGAGAAGGGGGAGAAGGAGGAGGGGGAGAAGGAGGAGGGGGAGGGGAAGGGGAAGGAAGAGGAGGGAGGAGAGGGAGGAAGATGGGGATGCGGCAAGTTCATTAAGGCTTCATCTTTCACTCAGCCCTGGAAAGGGAAGGAGGGCAGCTGGGGGTGAAAGCACAGGAGGCTTTGCCTCTCCTCTCTGGCTGCTGGGGGAGCTCCTGGGGCCAGATGGGAAGGCAGGGCTCCCACTTCGGAGGGCTGCCCCAGTTGGGGTGGGGGGCAGTGACTGCTGTGTCCACAGATCTCAGACGCTGCTGGTCCAATAATGCCAGTCGAACCCAGGCCACAAATGACCGTCCAGGCTCTGCGTGGATTCCCCTGGTGAGGGGGAGCCTGCCCCCGGCCCCTGCCCAAAGCCGGCCTGTGGAGGTTTGGATGGCTCTGCTGCTGGGGAGAGTTTCCTAAATGCGCTCTGGGAGCCCTCTGCCCTTTCTGCTGTCCGGGGCCTGGACGGGTCCAGCTGTTGGTGCCATGAGTCACTGACATCGTCCCTGTCACCTTGGCGGATCCGCACCCCCATGCCAGCACCCTATTTGTCCGTCCCCAGGCCCGCACCCTAAGTGCCGTGCCCGGCCCGGCCCAGAGCGGGTGGCAAGGGGAGGGCCCATACCGCAAGGCCGCGGGTGAAGGTCACAGCTCCCAGGCCGCGGAGGTGGTTCCAGCTGAGATTAAGCTCCTTTATGCTGACATTTTCTGCCAGGGCTGGCCCGAGCGTCTCCCCTTATGGAGAAACAAAGTCCCAATGTCGTCCTGTGGGGCCTTCAGTTCGCTTCCGAGAGGGAGGCGGGGGTGGGTGCTCAGGGAAAGCCTGGGAGAGGGGCTGTCGGCTGGACTGGAAAGCCCAAGCGACCGCCCCAGCCCGGGGATCGGGCCTCTCCAGTCCCTCCTGCAGGAGACCGGCCTGGGCTGCCCCACGGGAAGTGTGGGAAGACACGGGTCTGGTAGGAGCGCCCACCCTGTGATGCCTGCAGCAAGTTTCTCCATCTGTGAAATGGGCTGGTCTCAAGACCTCCTTTTCCTTCCCCTCTCATAGATAGTCAGTGACACAGAACACAGACGCTCTCATCCCTGCTCTCCAGAACCCTGGTTTGGGCTGAGCAAACACTCCCCAAACAGTGAAAACACCCACACCTTTAAGGCCTGCCAAGCTTTTTCCTCAGTGCTCCCCCATGAAGCTCAGTAGGCAGCATGAGCAGACTGTCCCCATTTTATAGATGAAGAAACTGAGGCTCTGAGAGGTCAGGTACAGGCTCTGCCACTTGCCTGCTGATGCTCGGATGAGGGGCACGTTGGCCCACAGGCCTGTGCCCTGGAGTATCAGTGTGGAGACTCACCACCAGAAGACAGAGTGGGAGCCTGAAGGAGGCCCAGCCTCCCTGCGGCCTCAGGCCAGGGGTCACTGTCCAGCCCTTCCTGAGGGGACAGAGGGCTGCAGGGTGGGGAGTCCTTGGGAAGCCCTCCCATCCCAAGAATCCAAGGAATCACTGCATCTGGCTATTTAGTCTCACCCATAACCCCATGCCAAATACCCAGCCTCTGCTCCCAGGCCTCCAGTGACAGGGAGCTCACTACCTCCTGAGGCCGCCTTCCCATTTTTGCAGAGCTCTAATTGCTAAGACGTTTTCCAGACACGTAGCCTAGATTAGCCTCTTTGGGGTTTGCCCTCATCCCTCTTCTCTCTGGAGCCAAGAAGAACGAGTCTGATCCCTTGTTACCTCCTGGGGTGTGAGTCTGACACATGGGGTGAGTTGGAGGAAAGGGCAGCCCAGCGCTCGTAAGGGTTTGAACCCTGGTCAATGCCCCTTTCTGTGGCCTTGTGACCCTTTGGGGGTCACTCCCTCACTCCCTCACCCACCCGCCTGAGAGTGCCAAGCCTAGACCGAGCCCCTCCCCTCCGGCTGGGGCTCCTACCGGCTTCCTCATCCAGGAGGTTGTGGCTCAAGTCCAGCAGCTCCACCTTCGTGTTGACCATCAGAGCATCAGCGATGTCCTTGGCAGCTTGGGTGTCGAGGTCACTCCCAGACAACCGAAGCCGCCGCACAGAGGTGTTCTCTTTGAGGGCAGCACACAGGGCCTTGGCACCTTTGGCCCTCAGTTTGTTATCAGACAGATCAAGATCTGATGTGAGAGACCCAGGCGATGGACATGAGAGGTTGTGGACAGAGCCAGGCAGACCTGGGTTCAAGTCCTGGCTTTAATGTTTGAGTGTATGTGTGTTACCTTCGAAAGATCACCCAACTGCTCTGGATCTCAGTTTCCTCATCTGTAAGAGGGGTTTAGTTCTCCTTACCCTCACATAATCTCAGATGATTAAGGCTCAATGTGCTAACACCTGGCCATCCCTTTACAAAGTATGAACTCCTTCTCTGAGGGATTTGAAATGGGCAGCCCCATTAACTGAATGAAGATGACCATGCTTCCAGGTGATCCTTAAAAGATGGTTTGAGAAATAGAGACGCACATTCCAGACACAAATATGCAGAGGCAGTAGCTATGACCAGAAGCAGCTTCAGGGTATACAAATTCTGGGAGAAAAGAAGAGAGCTAACCCTGGCAAATGAGGATCAAGATTTAAGA